CGCTTCGGTAGTTTTACCGAACTAAGTAATGCATGATCGCTGCTTTGGATTATATTTATTCAAGGATCGCGAAATAAAAATTCTGAGATGCATTTCTATTAATTTATTATAGAGGCATAACCGCGAGAGCGATATTTTAAAACTATCGACTAATTGGTACCGGGATGTTAGACCCCAAAAAAACACGAGAAGAAAGGTTTATACTTATACCTATGTAGTCTGTGGTATGAATGGATCCATAAAATGATATGTGCAATCGTTGCAATTTTGTTATCGAGCAAATGGCGGAAAAGGAAAAGAATCGAGGATTAAGAACGAGACACGTCTGTTTAATGCATTATAAAAGTGAACTTTAATGATGATTCGTATTTCAATGGCTGATACATGTTCATTTCCATCTGCAACGATTCCACAAGCAAACACAGGCAAGAATATGGAAGACGAGATAAGTGGCCAACATCAATAGTGCATCCATCCAAAAGTTTGACTCATCGAAGTCGTAGAGACGCAAAACTTCGTCCCCCTCAGTGATACAAGGTAATTCAGGCTCAGTCGTTTCGCAAGCTGCGAACATCTGTATAGACAATCTTGTTCCGTACGTATATATTTTAAGATTATACTTACATATATTGCGAATCCCGTCCCATTGAAGGATGGTAAGCGCTTCGTTAGAGTGCAACAACCAAGAAATATATTTCACCCATCGGATGTATAAAGGCAGCGATCTGATATTTAGTAAAATCGGATTAGATTTTTTCAATCTCTTTCTGATTCAAAATACATACCCTAGTTTCACAAAAGGGCCCATAGTAATCATTAGTATATAATCGAAAGGTACCAGATATGCCATCGCTACGGGCACATTCCCAAATGCGGCCGAAAAGAAACATCCTGGAATAACGTTTGCGTTAACAGTTATTCAGAGCATTTATTAGCATTCGCGTGTGAGGAAAAACTTACCGCAAGCTGCCGAGACGTTTATAGTAAGCAGAAGAATAAGTAATGTTAATGCAAACGTAACGATATCATTTCTCAATCCAGCTAACCAGTATACGATCGTCGCGAATAAGAACGGTTCTACCACGAAACCCGGTATCTGCAATTAATTTATTTATTATACGCCTTTTCGATAATATTTCGAGAAATTAGTATCGAATTTTATCTACTTACCAACGAAAGTATACGTGCAATGTAATAAAGGGAAATCGGGTACATTCCAGCCCGATATTCTCTTCGAATGAGCGGCAGCTCTTGCGGTATCAGAGCTAATGTGGCGTACATTGGGAAAAACGCGTTTTCAGATACCAAAATAAAAATTACGCCTTTCGTGGCTTGGATACCTAGTTGATCAAAGTTTACGGAGCCCACGAAACATAAACCAGCGATAGTCGCGACGCTCTATCAAATTTTACATATCAATTGTAATCTACTATTACGATTATGTATTTTTCTATGTCTTATCCTTCGTAAAATTGTTCTTACATTCGATCACTCACCATCTGTTGAAGTATCTGCAGCACCTGAACCGTTGGATCTCTCAATACTTGTAAGAAGTTTCTATAAAGCAACCAGTAGAGACGTGAACAGCATCGTGCCCCTTTTTTCCAGCAGCAAGGGCTTGAATAAATAATGTAGTATTAGACATAAAAACTAAGAGAGAATGCACGTTTTACATTTCATCAAATGCTTACGCAAAAAACTGAGCATCTCCGAGTGATTTCGATGCCTAAGACAATAAAAATGCATTTTTAAAATACAGTATCCAAACATTTTTAGAAAAGTAAAAAATGGAAGGATGACTTACGAGCGAAGAATACGTTTGCTCATTGATAATGCGATCGATTTCCACCGAAGCTTCGCTGATTAAAAAGGCGTTGCACATTTTCTGTACCACCTGTCCACTTTCATTTTCATTTTTCTTGGCCACGGTTGCTATCAGAAAATCGGCAGGATTGTAATTTCGTGGACATGCATAGCCTTGACTGAAGAATAAAAGCAATAAGAAAAAGAAAGAGGAAAAAGAAGAAGATATAAAGTACAGGTGTGGACCTCGCGAAAAATTGAACCGCTTGATCGATTCGACCTGAGAATACAACTCGACCCTCCGCAATCAAGATTATCCGATCGAAGAAACTGAACACGGCAGAACTTGGTTGATGAATGGTACACAAGACTGTTCTTCCTCTCTTGGCGAAACACCTCAGTTGGGAGACCAGGCAATTAGCCGAATGCGAATCCTGTCCAGTCGTCGGTTCATCCAAGAACAATATTTTCGGATCCGTTAACAACTGAAGAAAATAATACAAAATAAAACGAAGACGGGAAAATGCACATATATTTGCAATCATACTTCAGTGGCGAAGGCCAGTCTCTTCTTTTCACCGCCAGACAGGGTTTTCTCATCAGTACCGCTGCCAATTCGTACATCGCGTCTATCCGACAAGCCAACGTCTTTTAACAGATTATCGATCTCTCTTCTTATCTCTGACTTCTCTATCTTCCCATCGAGTTTCATTCGAGCCTAAGACGTGGCGGCGTGCAAAACATAGGAGCAGAAAAAGAGAGAAGCGGGTAGAAGCGAAAGAATACCTACACGTCCTACCACATAAATGTACATGCATCTTATTTTACATGAATCATTTTAATACCATGAACCAAAGATGCTCGGTCACCGTCATCGTCGTGACAAACATATCTTCCTGATGCATGTAACCGCTGTTTTGCATCATATAAGACGAATCGATCAGTACCCCGTTCGCTCGGATGTCACCTTTAACTAGAAGTTCAGCTGCGGTACGAATCCATTAATTTAGAACGTTGCCTAAATTGATAAAGGATTATTCAGAAGAAATACCTACGTCCAGTGCGGAAAGCCAACGCAGTCATCAGTGAACTTTTACCAGCACCGCTGAAAGAAACCAAGATAAAGAATTTTCGATACGATCCATACTTCCAAAAACTTCGTAGGTGAATTTTACCTTGCACCGATTATTGCCGTTAAGTCATTGGGTTTCGCCACGCCCCTGACTGAAATCAGGAAGTACGCATTGTTGAATATATGAGTGAGGAAACAGGAATCAACTTGGATCAAATTACACACCGTTTTCGATTAACTGTTTGCTCACGTTTCTGCGTCCGCGGTCCATCGCGTACACCGAAACGTCTCTCCACGTTAGCATGACACCCCTCGAAGGAACCGCTTCGTCTTCTATGTGGCGGCCCGGATTTTCCTTCAGAACGTACATCGCGGTCATAGTATCTACACGAGTTTCTATTTATTCTGATTCTGATAGTTTTGTCTATGCAATCCGTTTGTTTTGCCTTTATCTGACTTAATACCGCCGAGCCGAATTACTCCGCAAACGGAGAAGATTGTTACTGAAGCCGGTGGCACACGATATGTAAGTCTGTACTTAGGTACCTACTCGCAGCGTATACTCAATCGGCTCGACTTACTCGCGTACATACACCCTGCCCCGATTCTCCGTATCCTTTCGGATGAATAAAACCATGTAACTTTAGATGTGTCCGCGCGCGCACAGTGGTTACGAGTTTATTAAAAACGAATCTCCTCTGAAGATATACAAAGGAAATGTTATATTTATTAGTAGAAAAACGAACATCCGAAAGGGTTGCTCAAATTTAATTAGATTACAAACGGATAGAAAAGTTTAGTGGGTCCTTATCACTGCTTAACGAAACACATACGAAACGTACATTGGTATAAAACCAAGGGAGAACTGAGTGACGCGAGGGGAAGCCGGATTAAACCCGGTAATCGAAGACGGAAACCCTATATCTTATGTCTCGCACATAGATTTCTACCCAAGAATTTCTCCTCCGTTTACTAACTTTTTTATGCGATTTTCATTGAGGAAACTATTTGCTCGTTTCATTGAGGTTTCAGAACAGAGTTCTCAAATTTATGTTACCTATACATTCAACAATTAATGTGGGAATGTGAGATATAACGGAAATCTTATATATTAGTTTATTATCGAATATGCGTGTATATTAGCATTTCTTCGCTACGCATGTACGCATAAAGTCGTAGGTGTACACGGTGTGAATAACAACCGGTTTGTTAACGATATCCGAGTTCATGCTTGGAAGAGTGGTCACATCGATGTGCAACGGTTACATACACACAGCAAATAACGTTTGCCTATCCTCATATTCTTTTCCCTTTTTTGTGCCTTCTTTCTATGCGGTAAATCTATAACTAGGAACAACAGAAGCAAGTACAGAGTTACAAGGAAGTATGTACTTCACACACACACTTCATGCATATGAACAATTAAGGATAGGATGTATGGAGAAGATAATTTACACGTCTTGTAAATAACAGTATAACTTTAATTATAATTTGACAGTAACAGGTAGACTACATACTTTTACGCCAAGTAAAACGATTATAGTACCAATTTGAAAAATATTCTCTTTATTAATTCAATATTGAAATATGCATTCAGATTCTGATATGTTGAACAATTTGATTCATTAATTTATGTTTTATGGATTTATGACTTCTGTAATTCAGTTTTCTTATAAATGCATAAAATCCGCAGGCTAATAATAAACATTACAATCGGGATACGATATAATTAATGTACATTGTGCACAGTTGTTGGTTTACGGCTTTTCTCTCTCTCTATTTTTGTTTTGCGTTACGTCGAGTCTTGGACAATAGGGCAAGAAACGCCAAGAAACGGAACGCGACGATCAGAGAGAAGAGACAGATGATATCCGTCCAAAAGTGATCCTGAAAAATAATGCAAGAGATATAGAATTATTATTATTTTATTAATNAGATATATGCTGTATTGTACTTCGCTAAAATTGAATGTTTGCAAGATCATTCGGCCAGTTTTCGGGCAAGTCGCGTTGCTCCTCGTGCACGCTATGGTTTCTACATCCGCCCATTGATTAATAAGAAGGGCTTCGTTGCCATAACGGAACCACGACAGATAGGAGAACCATTCGAAGTAGAATGGAACGGATCTGCGAGATATTGTTTATATATTCCCTTCGTTCAAAAATAATATTCGACAGAAATCGTAATATTAATCCCTCACGCCGTGTTTAAGAAGAATCCGCCAAATAACAGAAACGGTATTATCACCGGGGGTCCGATGGATAACGCCATGAACAAATTGCTGCTGATGCAGGATATTAAGTAGCCTAAAAGAAGAAACAGTATCGAGAAACTGAAAGGAAAGGATGCAAGCCTGGCTGTAGAAGTTAGAGACCAACCGAACGACGTTGAAACGTTTGCGACGAGGGCAACGATACCAGTGGTAATGAAAAAGTGATCAAATCCTGGATACAGTCCGATCATGGGATAAGAGATGATTGTGAAGAGAAGTGGTACAGCGATGAAGATCGGTGCTTCCGCGAGCGTTTTACATAGGAAGTACACGTCGGTACGATACATACCGTTCTGGTGTTCCCGCAGGAATATAGGCAACTCTGTGCAAAAGACCTGTAGATACACAGCCAATAGAATTGCGCAGACGAGCTTTGTACAAACATGTGCATAATGGATTTTACATTTATTACGGCAAACACGTTCTGGAAAGTCATGTTAGTAAGAAATATGAACAAAGCACCATTGATGTTCATCACTCCGTCCTGGTCTAATTGTTGGTTGAAATAAACAATTCCTATCAGTAGAGATACCATCTGAAACAGGAGGACGCTTTTTCAAAAGTGATTTTTGGTCCAGTGATCTTGGCTTCGAGTACCCACAATAGTCTGTAGCAGCCGAACTTTAATGAGAATCGGTTCCTTAATGACTGACAACCAGCAACGCCAAAGTACCGCGCGAAACTGTTCGCACCAAGACGCCTTGTACGGCGATCTTTTCCCATACGATTTAGAATCTTTTAGAGAATCCTCGCATTCGCTGTTAATCGCCTCCGCCTCCAACGCTATTTTAATACCTAGTTCACTCTTTTGAAACGCGTCGCACACGGTGTTTATCGCATGACGACAGGACATCTCTTGTCCAGGCACGACCGCCAACATCTGGACGAAGTAATCCGCCGGATTGTAGTTACTCGGACAAGCGGCACCGAGCCTGGAAATAATATTTCTATCTACGCGTACCCAGCGACGGAGCTAAGTCTCGCGATTAACGAATCTACTATTTACGTTTCGAAGAAGCTGCAAGCCTGCGACGTCGTGCCCATGAAGGCCACTCTTCCCTCGGCCATTAATAGGATCCTGTCGAACAGTGCGAACAATTCCGACGAGGGTTGGTGCAACGTAACGACGATCGTCTTGCCACGCGCTGCGACATCGACTCGGAATTGCAATCCAATCTACGCGCTACTTATCCGTCACTTACCAGCCAGAGCTTTCAACACGGTAACTACTTGATGCGCCATGAACGAGTCGAGACCCGATGTCGGTTCGTCGCAGAACATCAACGGCGGATCCGTGAGGACTTCCGAAGCGAACGACAGCCTCTTCATCTCACCTCCGGAGAGGCCTTTAATCCTGCCAGGTTGACCGATCACCGTGTTCTTGCATTTACTTAATGCAAGCTAGAATGGAAGCAATCAACGTGATAAACGGAGGCGATAACGTTAATCGAAAAGCAGTTTCCGCCTTTTTCTTTTTCGATGGGTACCTCGTTAATCACTCGGTGTACGCGATCGATTCTCTGTTCCATGGGAATTCCACGATCCATACGAACCATGGCTTGAAACAAAAGGTGTTCCTTCACAGTCAAAGTGCCGACGAAGAGATCGTCTTGTTGTACGTACGCGGTTCTCGACGTTAGCACCGTGGAGGATACCCTTCTTCCGTTTGCAGCCATTACACCGGAAACTGTTACCCCACGACCCGAGCGAAACGTTAGCGCATTCAACAGCGTTGTCTTACCGGCGCCCGACGATCCCATAATTACCAATAGTTCACCCGGGTACGCCGCACCGCACACTGGAGACAAATGCTTGTCATTTTCATTTATTTTATCTTGTATTCTTTTAATTCATACCATCCTTTAGTAGGTGTCTTCGTTCTACCGATTTCTTCCTCTTGAAGAAACCCTCCCACGGTTTTTCATCCCTCTTAGTCGCATAGATGTTTAAGTCGCTCCAAGTATAAGTGATTCTTTGCTCGATCTCAGTATCAAACGTACGCGTAGTCTCTGTGGTAGCTGTTATCAAAGGCGTTATCGCTTTGTACGATGACCGTAAAATGGGTTTCAATTTGAAGGACCACGAATCTGAACCCGTTCTAGAAGACGTCGCAGTTTCACTTGCGTCCTGCGGTCAAACCGAGAAAGATGTTTGCCCATTGATTTCCGATATCGAACGTTCGTCAGAAATTAAAAAGACCCGAATTCTGTTACGTACCAACGAGATCGCATTGTACGAGGCCGCTTGCTGCTTGTTGCAACTGCTAAAAGTTCTCTTTGATAGAAGTGGCTCGGTTTCGTCTGTCGCGGTCATTTCTGCTATTTAATGTTCAATCACATTCGACGAAATTGAAATACACTTTTCCTTCGAATCGAAGACGTACCATCGAACGCGTGTAGGTAATGCGATTGTTAATGCAATTACTATTACCAATTTGTGGAAGTCGTACTTAGGATGGCTTCGAACGATGATCTTACAATTAGAGAAATAATAATTACGCACAATCTTTCCGTAATCCTTTGACACTATACTGAGCGCAGTTTTAATTTTCACGAGTCGCGTTTTTTTTTAAGGGTGCAAAAATTCAACAAATCGCGGTAGCGAAAAAGTTGTTTCATCGGATAACGGATAGTCAAGCTCACCGCGGTGAGACACAATTCCGACTTGGAACATGACGAGGTGGAGTATAAACTCTCAGTCCTCGAGGTACGAGGTAGCCGCAACTCGAAGTACACGTAACAGTCTCAGGTTGCCCGTCTCCCACCTACCCGCCGCCTGTCTTCCGCCTCCCATCTCCGTTCGTTCGCCGTTCTCATGTCAACTTATGTAACGAATCCGGTAATCTACGGGCTTACCGACGACCACAGTCGGAGCCAAACGGAATAAAAGAATACACGTTGGCCTTGCACGCATAATCTCATGCAATGTGCATTTGCGTTCCATCTTCGCATTGTACGTTTACTTACGTTACCTAAGATTTTTAATTATTTCGAATTAACGGAATGCTCCCAATATTGAGATTATTTTTCCATCTCCTAAAACTGCGAGCATTTAAAGCTCGCAACGCTTTGTGGGTAGGTGTTATAACAATGAAAAAACGATATGAAGAATAACTTCGTTTATTATTAGTCGATACAATAGCGTGATTGAGGGGTCGAAAATTCAGAGTTAACTCTCAACTCTTCAGTTAGCCTCGACATTCCTTGCTTCGACAGAAAGCGTGTTGGTACGGCACAATGTGGGACGCTCGTGATGAAACATTGCTCTCAAAGAAAGGTTTACGTATTTTTTTATTCTTTGCATTGAGAATATACGCAAATTTGCAACGTTGACCAAATGATATGTACCGCGTATATACGTATTCCGCTTGCATATCTTTTCTCCAGTTCATTACACGCTTTCTCAGTCTCACGCATGTACCGACGAGCGAGGACATGGTAGACAATGATAGAGAGATACGTAGATCAAAAGATAGAGAGAAAATGTAGGCATGTGTAAGTGTGAGGGCGCGCACAAGTACCGGCGCAAGGAGAACAACAAATCCCCTTCGCTCTTTTCATTTCCTCGCGTTACATATATTCTCTCTGAGAAAAATTTACACCATCGCTTAATGCCTCATTTAACGTTACCGATACAATTCATAATCGGACGTGACATGAAGCGATACGTAACGTCTCTAATTCATCGTATTTTCGTTTTATTATACAATCGACCAAATGGTCCCAATTCACGTCGTTTTATTGTTTTTTGACATATTGTGAGACGCCCAATTTAACGAAGTCTTCCACGAATTACAAAGAGCCTCATCGAATTTGCTTCGAAAATGCTTCTGCGCCTCGCTTTCGGACATCTCCAATACCTAAGTTGAAAAAACGAATCGTGATTATTCGAATACGAAAACTACGTACAAGAGTTAAAAGCAGCATACCAAAGTGTCCCTTAAGTAGTTAAGATCTTTTTCGGATGATAGTTCTGGCAATCCGGTGGATATCATCATAGCGAACAGAGATAGTATTAAACCTCCATGTTGCCTTAGAACAAGAAAAGCTTGCTCGCAATGACTTTGAAACCGTTGAAACTCGACCGCTTGACCCTTTTTCGTTTGGCCTTTGTTTATTACGTGTACGAAATCATTGGTCAACACGAACGGCACGCGTTCCCGTCGAAATCCAAACTTCTCTTTGAAGTGTCCAAGAATGTGGCCGAAATCAACGTGGAACAATTGACCGGTTTTCTTTACCATTATATTATCTGAATGTCTGTCTGCAATTCCGAGAACGTACGTTGCTACACAGTAACCCGCACAACTTAACGTGAATTCTTCGATAGCTCTATTCAATGCTGCTTCGGTATGGTTGTGGTCTTTTAGCCACGCGAGCAAAGAGCCTCGCCTACAGAAACACAAAAGAGATAAGAGAATCAAAGGTAAATGTACCACTTATAGATTATCATCCACTCCAACGGACATACCTAAAAGCAGCTGTAGCAGAGAACGTGCCTTTCTCTTTTTGGATATTCGCGATCGTTTCCGCGTTCAGAACTACCTCGATCATACCAACTCTGTTCTCCGTTGATATGCAACCGTAAGGATTCATACGCAAATCCAGACCCTCTCTCTTCCAGAGTTTATCCATAATTCGTAGCATTTGCAATGTGAGCATGTCTTGCCTCAAATCGTCTCCGTGTTTCAATATTAAATAGACATCGTCGCCAAACGGATCGGCGTTCTCAAAAACGAGCCAAAGCGGTCGCATTTTACTGTCCATCACTCTACACTTTTCGATTCTGTAAACGCATAGAAGCAACATTATATTTATCAAATTGTGTTTGCTTTCACCACATAGAATCTTCTTACTTGATCTGCTTCCACCGGAAACTTGGATCCAACGGATTTAACACGTTCGACAACGCTTCTTGACAGTGGGCTGCTTGAATAAATTCTTGGAAAGCTTGCAACGCTGCCTTCCGATCTTTTCGCTGTTTTATTTGTTCGGATACACATTTTAACTTATCCAGGCACTCCATCTGTTTGAACAGTGATCGCATATGCTGCTGACTTCCTCTGCAGTACGCTTCCAATATTAAACCGAATCGTACGGATACGGCACCTACTTGCATTTCCGATCTAATGAAAAAGCGATGGAAATGAAAAAATGATACAAGGTGTGCAAACGACAGATAAGCGGAGAGGAACACTATATGCGAACCTAAGATGCCAAAACAAGAAATGACCGATCCTTCGATTGTTAAGAGCGCGCCTCAGCAGAAACTCCGTTAGATCACAGGACAAATAATTTTCATGCTTCAGTGCCTGCACCAACTGCAATAGATAGAGGCTCAACTCTTCATCGCTGACGTCCTTTAAACAACGTACAGCGAAACTTCGAACGTTTTGATCGGCGTACGCGTAATCCAATAATTCAAGTGCCTTTTCAACTGGTAATTTGGGCCACTGTTGCACCAGCGCCGTAGCTTCAGCTACTTCCCTGTATACGTCGAGAATCGGAAAGTAGGTTTAAACGTTCTCTCTCGTTTTCTGATTTTTTTTGTATATTTTGTTTTTTTTCTTCTATGAAAATATGCTACGTTAAAATGACTCCTACGTTATCTGATGTGCAACTTCAAGTTTATAAATCCTCACCTGTGATCGTTCCATTCTACGCAATGCAACAACTTGGCCAACAGTGTGGGTATTTCGAGGAGACAATGATGCCGTAACGTCCACATTATTTTTCGTTCTTGTTCGTGGAGCTCGTGCAATGGATCTCTGTCTGCTAGTAATAGAAGCTGCTCCAATTGTTGAAGTTTGCCGACGTTAAGTTCTTCATCGGGCTCCTCTTGAATCGAACGTTCGGCGGACGATTCCCGCAACTTCCGTGCGTATTCAACCATTTTCTCTGGGGTTGGATAAAGAACGGACTTGTCTTTTCCATAACTATAGGCAAATACCAAGACAAAGAAACAACTGATTATTCGTAATTATAATAAAAAAAAAGATCTCCCTTTCGAAAAAGAAACGAAAAAAATACTGAAAATACGATGATACCGATTAAAAGTAATGGCAACGATTAGAAGAAACAAAGAGAGAAAAGAGAGAACAAAGAAAGGAAAAATAAAATAAAAACTTACTTTGGAAATGTCAACATTAAAGCAGCCGCTCTATCTATATCAGGATTTGACACCACCGTTCCGAGAGGATGTAAAAGATCATCGTTTTGCATATCCTCGACATACGTCCACGTGTAAAGTGTCATCGCTCCCGCTTTTAATTGAGACTTGAAATCATATATGGTAGTGTTGGCCCAACACAACGGATTTATAAAACATTCTTGTTTGGTATCTCTAACTAATCTACGACTCTTCAGTCCTTTCGCAGTCTTACTAATTTCGTATAAAACAAAACACAGCCTGGCCATTCGCGGTATGTCTTTCACTTTTATATCAAATTTCAACACTTCCTCCCATTCGCAACTGCCCTCAGAATTGACCACCGTTTCTTTCGTCCTCTGGCTTTCGCACAGGGACTTTCCACCGTGAAAGAGACCCGCTTGAAGACCAATCTGCAACGAACAAAACATTTCTTCTACGCTGATAACTTAAATATAAAAATGATTTATTTAGAGATTCGTCGCGCATACCTCAACGGTACGATGAGCATCGCAATTCAATCGTGATATACCGTTGACAGTAAATACGAACGGTTCCTCTATTTTCCAGGCGGATATATGTTTACCCTTCTTGCGAAGGGTTGGCGTTGAAAACGTGGGTCTTGCACGCTGCAAGGCATCCGCTTCCGCGTTTTCTGCAGTGTTCTCTTGATCGACTGAAACGCTGTCCCTGTTTATTGTGATTAACGTAGGAACAATGTCTTTCGCTAGGCACTCTTGAATGTAACTGAATTGTATCAAAGGATATTCCCCGATTAAATATTCCTCTTGCCCGCACACTTTTAATGTGAAATCGTTCGGATGACCTTTGGACATTAAAGTGTTCGCCCGCTTATTCAAAATTAATACCAGTAACTGATATGGCATTGTGGTATGTAGTATTTGAAACGTGAAGGCCGTCTGAAAGACAAATATCAATGATATTTAGCTTTCTGAGAGCTGAACAATTTGTTTAACATTTTTATTTTCGTGTATCATTGAAGCATAAATGAGGAATAAGTGAAGAAGAAGAGAAAGAGAAAGAGAGAGGAGAGGAAATCCCATAGAATATAGTCCTTGAGCTCTACAGAGTTCAATGCATAATGAATTTAGTACACCGAAACCAGTCGTTTTGCATCTCTTTAGAATCGACCCCTGTCTCGCAATTCATATTCTTCTTCAATTCGTTAGGAATTAGGATAGGATAGAGCTCAATGCTAATGAGAGATTAACCACGTGATCACAAAGTTCCGCCATTTTTCCTGTTATGGTTTTAAACGGAACGTACGTTATATGTGAAGTTTTGACATTAGTCCGTTCTTAAAGGCTTTTATTGTCTGTCATTCAATCTAAAAGCATGTCTACTGAAAACTCGATAAACGAGAACAACGAAGAATATTTGGATAACGCAGGAGACAATAGTCGGTCTTATAATCTACTGAAAACAGAATACGAAATATGCCGGCAAGAAAATCACGATTTAAAAAGAAAGCTCGAATTGAACGAGGCAATGTTGCGGACGATTCAAGAGACAAATGAATCCCTCGAACATTCCCAACAACAATTTGCTACGGAGAAACAAAAAGAAATATCAGTGCTTGAAGAAAAGTAAATTTTAAAACTGTAATAAACTGGTTTTTTAACCTATCATGCGTGTGTCACGGTTCGTTATTTCTTGATTTTAGACATCGACATCATACGAAAGAGTATGAGAATATAATTCTTAATTTAGAAACCCAGTTAGCGGAACGTACGGAAGAACTAACAAAATTACGGCAACAGGCTGAAGCAGAATGCACGGGAAGTAAACCCACACCTGTTGCTGACGAACTTAAAACTCTTACCCTCGAAGCAGAGAATGTAAGATTAAGAAATCGTATCGATGAATTCATGTCCACCATAAAGGAAAGGAAAAAAGATCTCGAACGTGCGGAGGAAACAATCAAGTATCTGAAGAGTCAATGTAACACATTCGAAAGTTCTTCTGAGGTGAGGAACGAATCATCCATTTGTTGTAGTTATTTGGCTTTCCGAAAAATGAAGTTTCATACATTTACTTTATCATGATCCTTACCAATCCTGCAGTACGAATATATTCTTTTTATCAATAGATGTTAAGAATACGGTTGGAAGAGAAAAATCAAGTCTTGGAGGAGATTCGCGCGGAACTTGCTTTGCGACGCGCAGAAGCGGCAGCTTTCGAAAATCATCCTACTAGTGAATTGTATAAAGGTGAGTTAGACTCGATTTAAACGATTGAGGATTTTTATATTTCGTTTTTCATTTGCAGGTAATTCGCTTTTCGCCGAAGTGGAAGATCGTCGACAAATGTTGATGTCTACGATGAGCAAATTACGCGACCAATACAGGGTAGTGAAACGCATCTGCAAGTCGCAAATTATCGAAATCAAAAAACTGAGAGCAGAACGTACTGCGACGCTCAGACAATGGGAAGCAGATTTTAATAATACATTAGAAAACGAAGAGTTGATTCAAAAATATAAGAATAGAATATCAGATCTCGAGAGTAAATTGAAGACGGAAATTGATAAGAATACTGATTCTAAAGAACCAGATTCTACTGCCACAAATTTCGAGTAATTCCACGTGACATTTTATGATTAATTTACTTACTCTTATTTATTTGTATTATTGTTTGTACGCTAGTTTAAAATGCGTCTACAGGTACTTCCAATTTTTGTTGAATGCAAAGAAAAAGGAAATAAACGAGTACCGTATGAAGATTGAGAGCCTTTCGACGAAACTCTTAATAGAAGAAGAAACAAAGAGGAATGTAACCAAGGAACTTCGTTATTGGAAGCACAAAGCTTCTTCTTTGGAGGTAATCATGTTTATCCTTAATAATTAGGTGTGTTATAATGATCTTAAAAGGGAAACTTTTTCAAAAGGCTCAATTGTGTGCTGCACAAGCTGAACAACAATTATATCTTATGGACGACGACGACGACAACGGTTTGTTAAAAGAAGTTAATGATTACAAAGGCGGTTTAGAAAGCGTTGTACAATCGTTTCCAAACTCAGACAGTGACACTGATACTCAATTAACGGAAGAAGCAAAATCCGATTGCAACAATACTACAAAATTAAATACTGTAAGATTCCAAACGTCACTTAATCTTAACGAAGAAAAAACTATTGATGATAAAAAAAATGAACATTCCACTAAGAGTGTGCTTTTCACAAAAAATACAGTTACTAAAAGCGATAGTGTAAATGAAAACAGGAGAAACTAAGATAAATTGTGAATATCCTGTTTGGTATATAGCAAATTAACTTTTTTATTTTTTATATGTAAGTAATAAAGCATCCATGTTCTTACCTCTGTGTTTTCGAATTTAGTAAGAAGGACGATGTTTCCATCTTTCAATCGGCATTCAATATTTTTTGGTATAGTGGCAGTGGGTGCTAATCTTGTAGGAAACTGGTAACGCACTTTCTCCATCCAAGACTTTTTTTGTCTAGCCATTGCAACTTCATCTCCCAGTACACGCATTTTCCATCTGAAGTCATTTACTTCGGAGTTTCTTAGTGCCGTAAACTCATGTAAGCCTTTTCCGATGAGTAAACCGATTTGAGAATCTAAATTTCTATCACTTTTAACACCTTCTCTTTCTATAACTTTTAACACAGAACAAAATGGTTTTATATCGCACAAACGTCTAGTTTCATCTCTCAGTTCTTCAGCTTCCGCATTGGAATTAATACATGAAAACACATAGGACGGAGCGTCTTTCAATGTACCATGAAGAGGATACTTGCTGGCTTCATCCCAGAGATCCTGTAAGATTTAAATTATTTATTTATCTCGCACTGTAAAATGAAAAAAATTTTAACCCACCTCTTTAATCTCAGCCAAAGTGATATTGCGATTAGTTTCCAAGGGTATGAAGACCCCATTTGGCATTAAACATGTCAACTCGACAACTTCTGTGGGTGATTTCGCCCAAAAGTTGTAACTATACGCGCTTGGTATGTGCACCATGGTGTTGAATATTTTCGATAACACGTGCAGAAATTCAATGAGATATAAACAAAAATGATACGAGCATAGTTAATTGTAGAAAAACAAGGCACGAAGCAATGTATCGTGTAAATTGCATCGTGACATCGAAGGTGTTCTTTCTCTTTCAAACAACACGCATGACTTCATTGAATCCTTTAGTGAACGTCCCATCATAAACAAAACTGTCATTTCATCAACACTTCTGTTCTATCAATCATTTTTCGTCTCTTACATTTTCGTGTATACAAACGATTGATTGTTATTCGCTTTCGATTTTCGGCCTCTTTAAGGCTCGGAATCGGAGTAATAGGTGAGTTTGGTCGGATATTCAATTATCAATCGAACGATGTTATCAATTGCCGTCAACATCTACCGCCTATTTGTTTTAACGTGAACGTAAGTAATTTTGTTTGACTCGAATCGGAATCGGAATCCACACAGCTTCGTCTCTGTGTGTGCAATAACACTACTAGCAACTATTAGTTACTATGTACTATGTACTAGTCAGCCATTATTTCCACAAGTGCATTCTGCCCACATATCTACACTTTCTTATGGGCACGCATGTGTTTATTACATCCGTAGAAACTATATGTATGCACCTGCACATATATACGTATGCGTGAATCGAGAAGCAAAGTTATTCCGTTTTTCCATTGGTTCTTAGATCGCATCACCTCAATCCAACTTTTCTCTTGTCGACTTCTTGGCTTCTTCATAATTTTCTCTTATTCACTGTGTCCATTACACTCAACTCAACAACGAATTTAAAATGATAACATATAATATTTGTAATCCAAATATCGATCAAAAATGTTCACCACTCGACAGAATATATATGTATGTATGCATATATGTATATATATATATATGAGAGCGAAATATAAACAAAAATGATCGGAATAATACTGATGCAGATTCTTTGGATGCGAGATCCAGCGAGATCATCTCTGCTTACCTCGAGACTCGAGGCTTACCTAGAAACCAAAAAATTGGTAATTTTTGTATTTTACACTATTGACATAGTTCTTTCCATAGTGGAAATCAGTGATCACTGGAGGAAATATGGTTCTCTCTAGTGATATTAGTCCTCACTGGACAGCGTAAGTGTTCAGTGTGTTCGGAGTTTCTTGCGCATTTTGCGCATTTGTAATCTTGTCGTTGTGTATACCTTCGTCGTAGTACTATTATCGATTAACTTTTGAGGTTTGGAATTTTACGACGGATATTCTCGGGTATGTGATTTGTATTTATTTATTGTACGAGTTGCCAGTAACTGTATGTTTAAAAATCATTAGCTGAACATAGTGTACGAATTTAGCGTGACCGTTAAATTGATATTTTTGAAGCCGTTTATTTTATGTGGTAAATTTTCAAGTATTGTCACGTCTGAAGTTTCATCACAATAATGTTTCCTCTACGATTATGGTCATTTTTATTGGAATAAATTTGACAGTAAAATTTCTGAGGAACTGTATATCGTGTGAGAAACTGATCACTTATTTTCATCCAGCTTGGATTCAATAAGCTTGGATAGTTGGAATGTACAATCGTTCGCGCCCGTTTCTGGCGTCGTTACAGTGACTTAACGTTCGAAAAAAGATCACGTGTATATTATCGAATGTTTTTATTTCTTTTTGTTCATTTTTATTTGATCACAAGAGAGGATTTTGCTCAATTTCCGATCGTATTATTTAATTCGTACTTTATTAGATTTAAGTTCAATGAGGTCCAACATTTCAAATATCAACAAATATTTTTCATTTACTTGTTACATCACAGATTGTAATACGTGTTAAACCACTGAGTCAGAGATATCACATCAAGGATGTTCGGACAAACTGGAAATACCTCGTTCAGTAAGTGATAAATGTGTATATACCACGCTACTACATGCCACTCTTTCATTTCCGTATTTATATCTAATCTTTTTATACCTAGTCTTCCTTAACAGCTGATCATGTTATAGGTGGCTTTAACACAGCAACACAATCCAGCCCATTTGGGCAGTCAGCATTTGGTAAACCTATCACTACAACTAGCTTCGGCACTGGTGCTACGCCAGTATTTGGTAGTGGTAACACATCACTGTTCAGTGCAAAACCTGCTGGCTCTACTACTGGTGGTTTGTTTGGCAATACTACAACTGCACCGGCATTTACTCAACCATCTTTTGGAGGTATCTAGTTTTACGAAGTCATTCTGGATGTGATAACGTGTAGATGAACAACTATATTTTCTTATAGGTTTCGGTACAACAAATACAAGTACAAATTTGTTCGGTACTCAACAAAATGCAGGAACAAATTTATTTGGCACAAGTACTGCAGCTCCAGCGTTTGGACAGGCTAATAAACCAGCTGGATTTAGTTTTGGCGCTACGTCCGGAACAAATTTATTCGGTCAACCACAACAGTCGACGCAACAAACTACTCCATTCGGACAAACTAATACTACCGGCAATACGAATTTATTTGGTTCAACACCTGGTAAGTGCTTATGTTATTTAACGATTCACGTAAGTTATAGCGAAGTTATTCCTTTGTTACATTTGCTTATCGTTGTTACAGGTTTTGGTAGCACAAATACTACGGCTACCAGTATGATCGGCACTGTCGTTAAATTTACACCTGTAATCACCACTGATTCTATGTCAAAAAATGGTATATCTCACACTATATCGGCGAGGCATTGTTGTATCTCATCAATGAAAGAATATGAATCAAAATCATACGAGGAATTACGTTTCGAAGATTATTCTGTGGGGCGAAAAGGTAAAAACAGTTTTAAGTTAAAGAAATGTATTCTTTTACTGATAACAATAACAATATTAATGATCTTGGTTAATCTTGTTCAGGACCCAGTACAGGAATTTTTGGTGCACCTACACAGCCTTCACCGTTTGGTAATGCAGGGGCAGGTACTAGTACTGCGACAACGGGTAAACTATTCTAATGCCAATTATTTGTTATCTATTAGATATCATCTTTATAAGGTTTAAATATTGTTCTGCTTGGTAATGCGTTTTTCCTAATTATATTTTATACTAGGTTTTGGTGGAATGACCGGAGGCTTCGGAACGACTACTCAATCCGGATCGAGTGGTCTATTTGCAAAACCTATTACGAGTTTCGGCACTCCGTCGACGACGACGACGAACAATTTTGCTTTCAACTCTACTCAGGGTACAAATTTGTTCGGTAGCAATACCCAGAATAAACCTTTTGGTAGTAAGTATCAACCTTTTTTTCATGTTACACCGTTGTGGATAATATTGATATCAATAAGATTCGCAAACCACTACGGAGTTAGTGTATATTCATCGATACAAGTCGAATAGTCCGCAATACAGATAGTTTCATTTACAGCAGCAGCTCCAACGCCACTTTTCGCAACCAGCAATACTAACCAAACTCCTGGCACAGGCTTTGGTGGAATTAATACTACTCAGAATACTGGTTTTGGATCTACGTTCGGTGCAACTCAACCGAATCAGGTAATAGAAAGAGGACAGATGAAGACTTGCTGTTATTCGTCGTCGGTTGCGATTTCAACTTCTTTTTCTTTGCAGAGTATCGGTTTATTTAATCAAAACAAATCGGCTTTCAACGCACCAGCTACGTCATCTACCACCGGCTTCACCGGTTTCGGACAAACTGCGGCGAGCAATGCGGGTACAAGTTTGTTTGGCGCCAAGCCCGCTGGAACGACGGCTTTCGGAACAACACCTTCTTTCGGTGCGAGCACGGCTTCAACTTTCGGAACATCGACAGGCTTCAATGCCGGCCAGAATACCGGTACTTCATTGTTTAACACGTCCTTTAAACCGGCAACGCAAACAACGGGATTCTCGTTTGGTTCTACTCCCGCATCTTCGACCGGACTCGGTAAATTGTTTGTCATACTTTAAAATTGGAAGATTTATTTTCTGAACTGATGGTGAGTATCAACTTCAAATTTTGTAGGTACGAACACAGGTTTGACGTTGGGTGGTGGTTCTACATTATTTGGTCAACAGAAGACAGGCGGTTTGTTTGGGAACACTGGTAATAACACGAACTTTAATACTTCGTCATCATTTGGAACCTCAACTTTTGGAAATAATGCTAACGTCGGCACTGGTCTTGGAATGGGTTTACTTGGTGCAGGGTACTAATTTTTTTAGACTTTGTACATACTCTCAGTGTCAATAGAAGAATTAAATTTTTATGTTTTTAATACCACAGGAATACAAACAATCAGATGAAGAGCTCTGGAACGGTGCCAGTGCATCAACAGATTTTAGCTTTGGTGTCTGCACCATTTGGCGATTCACCGTTACTGAAGAACCTTCTACCAGTAAGTAATTTCTAGTATACGTTTCTTACAAATACACTTGTAAACTTTCCCGTTTTCCCGAAACGTCATTCATGGTTGGTTTCAGGCCTCCGGCAAAACGGAAGAATTGTTAAAACCGGCAAACGCACCATCAAAAATGTTGAACGGTACACAATACAAAGTTACAGCTGATAATAAGTCACCAAAAATCAAGGCAAAAGTGATTACTCCCAAACAGTTGTCAAAGGTAATATATCATATTATATTATTACTTTCTATTGCATTGGCAATATATCATATTATATTATTACTTCCTATTTTATTTATCATTCTATATAATTGTTTCGCAGAAATCATTATTTGAAGGTTTGGAGGAGGAAGATCCAATATCGGAAGCGTTTCAACCTCGTCCAAATACTAAACGTTTAGTGCTACGCCCGAAATCAATGTCAAAATCTGTAAATTCATCGTTAAATTCTACAACCGAGAATTCGCCAACGACAGAGAAAAATTTGCGGGAGACAAATAACAAGGGAGATGATAGAGGATCAATAACAAACTCGAGTATCGAAAATTCTACTATCGAAGTTGTGGACAAGGAAAACAACAGCCAAGAAAACAATCGACAATTGGCGAATGATCGGAGATCGTCCACGTCTTGGTTGAAAACCAGTCTACCGCGAAATTCGCCGAAGAATTTGAACGAAAACTCGACAGAAGATCAACGTCTACCATTCTCCGATCCGAACATGTCCGAAGAAATGATAAATAATACTGTTGCCGAATTGCGACCGTATGCCGACACTAATCAGAAACAGATTCACAACATGAACAATTCTATGGACGGCAATTCAATTAGGAACTCATCCCTCACTGATAAGACGTATACATTCACAGACAACGTGAATCACACTCCGGATACGAGCCAAGAGTATGAGGAAAACTCATTCTCGACGATGCAAACCTCGGATTGGAAACCGAATGCTGCGAAAGTGACGTTAAAACGCATGGGTTATTACACGATTCCGCCCTTAGAAGAACTGGACAAGTATGTTATCGACGGCAAATGCATCGTGCAGAATTTCACTGTCGGTCGCGAAGGATACGGCAACGTATATTTCCCTGAGTCGTTTGACATTTACGGTCTTAATTTGGACGAAATTGTACATTTCCGACACAAAGAGGTTGTCATTTACCCGGATGATGAAAAGAAGCCACCCGTCGGCCAGGGATTAAACCGCAAAGCGCAAGTTACTTTGGAACAAGTGTGGCCGCACGACAAGTCTCTGCACAAACCCATCACCGATCCCCAACGGCTGGCTGCGATGAATTACGAAGAGAAATTGCGTAGAGTGTCGGCGAAACATGATACCAGATTCCTGGAATATCGTCCAGAAACTGGTTCCTGGGTTTTCAGAGTGGATCATTTTTCCAAGTACGGTTTAAGCGATTCGGATGAGGAAGACAACAACATTCCACCAGCAACCGATCCAAAGAGATTAAAATTAGGCATGCATCACGAAAAGACTGTGACTAAACAATCGGAACAATTAAAAGTTCCGAACAAGGATGCCTCCAAGGCAAGCAAAGATCCAAAAGCGGCCAATGTAGACTTAGATGCATCTGGCATCATAGAATTCACACAACGAAGATATAACGATTATAATCGTGATACCGTATCACAGTCACCGATGAGTCCTACCGGTGAAAATGCTCGCATTTTGGGTACAGACAGTCACAAACTGCAATTAATGAAAGCTAGCTTCTTTGACGGTAGTGATGATGAGCTCGATGTTAGTGTTCCCCGTGAGCAGGAGTTGAATCGTGCCTCGTTCGGACTTGCCAAAAGCACTTTGCGTTCTTTCATTGATGCCGCTCAGAAATTTGACGACCATCAAATCTTTGATCAAACATATACTCCGATATTGCGATCGAATTTAACAATTCATCGAATGTCGACGATCGGTTACGAAGAACTACCGCTTAGATCAGAGAGATCCGACTCAGCAGACTCGAAATTGAAATCTTCGATGGAGATCGTTGCCACGAAACCGTCGTTATTCACAAAAGGTTTACCGGAGCCTACGATAACACCTATTACTACGATTCTTAAGTGGGTTTGCGAAGTGATTCCCTTATCACAATCTATGATACACAAGTTGGAATCGCGCGCTGTGGCTGACACTGGCATACAAATGGGCAGAAAATTCAAACCGAGCTGGGGACGCGGTTTAACTCTGCTCACGTTGACTACGAGAAATCAAGCTGATATCGTACCACTGAACAGCTCGTTTGAGCAGATCGGGTCTTACGTTTGCGGTCGTTCTCCGGAGGATACAACATCCGCTGCTATAGTCCAACGTATACAAGTTCTAGGAGGACACGGAACAGATATCGACCATGTGAAAAAGTTTAAAGAAAGTATAGAGGGTCATTTAAAGATTCAATTGTCCTACCGTAAATTGAATCAGGAAGGAGATTGCCCGATTTTCAACGTAGACACAGATAATAGGGAAGACGCGAGCATGGCTTTACATGCTCACTGCAACTTGGCCGAAGAATTCGCGGAACAATATTCATCGGATTCATATGCCTCGTACGTGGCTAACGTTTGGAAGCTATGCGTGGCTCTTTGGGGAAATTTGGCGGATATAAATGTTGCCACAGGTATTATAAATTGCTATAACAGTGCGTTTACTATTGGCGCTTTCTACTATATTTCTCTCTATGTTTCAGAAAATCCAGATGATCATAATATCACGATAGCACGACGAGAAGCTGTGGGAGAGTGGTTGAGGAATGTCATACGAAAAACGCTACACCAGGATAATACTAATATCAACTACGAGACAAAGATATTGCTTTTACTATCAGGTATATTTAAAAAATCATTAAAATTGTATTGTACACAAATTGTGATGAAAATATATGTTGTTTTTTGTCGGGCATCTCTCTCTCCTTGTTCATCGCAGCTTATGAGTTGGAAGAGGCATGTAAAACTGCACGAGAAGTAGGTGATCATTGTTTGGCATTGTTGATGGCACAGCTACGCAGCGGAATGCCTGTAAAGGTACTGATACAACAACAAATCAAATTATGGCAAGACTCCGGTATTGATGAACACATATCACTGGATAGACTAAAGCTTTTTACGTTGCTGGCGAGCACAAAGTTAGGTGAACCGCCTTTGTACAATAACGTTTGCGAGGGTTTCGATTGGAAGAGAGCTTTGGCTATTCATCTGTGGTAACATCACATTTATATAACGTTACTTAATTTTTGTCTGCTGAATCGTACATTTATTATATATTCGAGCATCATCTGCAGGTATTTTGCATCTCCGACTGCTTCACTAAGCGATGCGCTGGAGCTTTATGAAAGCTCCTTAGATGCGGGTAAAACAGTGGTATACTCTTACACTCCAAAGCCCGAGTATAAGGGAGATGATTACGAGTTGGAGATGATGAATGGAAAACTGATATACGATCTGTGTTTTCATCTATTAAAATTATTCTGCACTGGCAATCACGCGCTTGGGAAATTGTTGAACCCAGCAACGCACACAGCCGATCCAATGGACTTCAGGCTCAGGTAAATGATCCCTCAATTTATCCTTTCTTGATTTTAATTACTATCGTATCCGTATTTAGTTCCGTATCTTTTTCAATTTTCGATTTAATTTTTACGGCAGCTGGCTGATGCAGCAAGTACTTTTAGCTCTGGGTTACTCGCATCTCTCAGAACACGTAGCCACTTTAACACATGTTAATTTCGCGACGCAATTAGAAGCATATGGTCTTTGGCATTGGGCCATATTCGTTATGTTGCACCTAAAGGATGCTGGAAATAGGAAGACAGCAGTAAGAAATTTGTTACAACGTAACGTCGAGATCGACGACTCTGACGACGTCGATTCGATTGATCCAATCGAGCGCGAGAAATTTTTGCGTGAAGAATTGGGTATACCTTCGACTTGGATCAACCAGGCTAAAGCTGTAAAGAGTTACGTGGTTAAAAGGTTAGTACGCTTGTTCTAATTTTTTCAACTATTACGAAACTCGGTCTCAAAGGAACATCTCTTTATTTGTCGTAGATACGGAAGGGCAGCCTATTATTATATTCATGCAGAACAATGGAACACGGCTCACGAAATTATTATCGAGCATTTAGCAGCAGATGCTATAATAAACGGTATGCTCGTGAAACAAATCTACAATTGCCCGATCCCCACGTTCAAGCCGTTTCTTAGTTCCCTGCTGCGTTTTTTTTTTACAGAAAATTATGATTATTTACGTGAACTGCTACGACCACTGACTCCCCCGGAATGCAGCAGTACCATAAGCGGTTGGACCTATCAAGGACAATTACTTTGGGAATACATGGAAATAACTATGGACGTAGAATCGCTGTTACGCGGCACTGATGCTCGCGTGATTGGTACCAGATTGGAATCATTAAAACAACGATTGTCGAGTCTTCCATCCAAAATCAACCAGTTTCCATGTCCAACCGCTAAGCATAGGTAAACTACGCAGCATATTGTTTTAAAATACGTATCGACTCGCTCACGATTGACGGGGATTGCTGTTTTTTTGTCACAGGCTTTGCCAGGCCGAGATCGCAAAGAGGACTCTGCATCTGGCTAGAAGCTTAATGCAATCAAACGAGAACAGATCGACGTCGATACTGCAATTAGTGTCTCAGTTGCCCTTACCGGAAGATTACGCACAACAAGAGCTCCGCCCTATCGTTAATATGCGCGTGAATGAAATTATATATCAAGCAGCGTAGTTGTTGATGCCGTTTTTCTCTTTTTCTACAGAAATGTTATACGCTCAAAGAGGTAATTTTATTTTTATATTTTGACCAAAATAAAATGCGCATATGTAAATTTTTTACTTTGAGCGATCATGTAATACAATGTATTTATATGTTTTTATCCAAGTAACAACGAAGGGGCGGCAACAATCAGTGTATTAATGATCGTGGTCAATCAGACTAAACAATGATAATAGTAATAACAATAGTAATAACGCTAAAGTTAATAAGATTTGTAACAGTTAAGGATCGTAAACTTTATAAATAATGGTATTTATTCTAATTTGTTACTTAAGGCAGATGAATTTGAATATATATTTAAGCAAAGTAATGCAATCTGGATGAAGGAAGTAATTATTTACGTACATCGTACAGGAAGTCGTATAGGAATATCTTTATTGTTCAAAGCGTGATAATTAGGTTTAATAAAATAAAGACTCCCCGTTATAGCACGATTGTTTTTATCATAAAGAGAGTGTAACAGTTTTTCACCCGACCTTTCCACGTCTGCTTATCAAATATAAATTAAATAAAAAATGATGCATGTTAGTAATATAAAAACATTCTTCTGTAGAAGGCAGACGTCATTTTATGTAGCAAATTTACGTGCGGAAAACGAGATTCCGACACCTCCAGAATTTAGGAAATCGACCTTTCGGGTGAAAAGTGAAAATATTTATGTATATATTTGTACCGTAAGAATCAAAAAGTGAGAAGACGCGTTTTGAAAAAGGAATGTCGGTCCGATTTGTGTAACAGAAGGACGAGATTAAATATAGAAGATGTAGTCATATTCTTTATCGTTAATCTGAACCCTCAATCAATTCTTATCTTTCGCATCAATCTCATGGCGTACGCGCGAGATTCTTCGTGCAGATTCCATGTCTCCGAAGACGAAGGCGTGCGCTCATTTTTGACTCCCGCTGTACGTAGACACGCGTTAAATCAATGATGCCGAGCTTGCGCGGCGGCCGCGTTACAACCATCTCTGTTACGATATCAAGTCGCGGGCCTCTTGCTCTGCTCGCGAGACCCGACAACTTCGTTGTCCGTTTGTTCGCTTTCACTCTTTCGCAAGGAAGAGCTTTCGCAAGCGTCTCTCCGTCGATGGTGCTCGACCCATCGCACCAACCCATCCCTCCTTTCCCCGGTTCGTCTCTGTTCGTTTCCGTATCACGCAACCTTCACCTCCTACCCTCCGTCACCGTCCCCACCGTCCAAGCCACTCTTCCCCTACATAGACCGTTCGTGGTTCCCGTTTCATCCCTAATACCGTCGTCGTTGCCGCCGTTGTCGCTGTCTCTCACCATCACCACCAACCGAGCACACCCGTCGACGCTCCGTCGTCGTCGCCTTCACCGTCACCGCCGTCATCCCCAGCGCTGACTTGTTTTACCACCACCATAGTTGGTACTCGCGCATCCCATCATTTTCGGGGGTGTTTGCGAGCAGACGTTCGCACCAGTAGAATAACTTTACTACATGTACAATTTATGTATTCTTTGTACAGGTCGTTAAGAAAAATATAGAGTTTCTTTGGAGAATATGTAATATAATTAATTACAATATTAATAAAGAATGACGAAACTGTGCTTATCACAGTTCACTTTAAGAGAAACCTGATTACACGTTCGCATATTATTCATACTATTCTTATAGAGATACATTAATAAAAGTCGTGAGACTGTTTTCTCATTCATTATGCATTATAGACAAACGAGAAAACAATTGGGAATATTCTAAGGACTTATTAATAAGTGCATTGGAGATCGCGTGAATTCCGTGGTTCGGGGTTGCACTCACTTTTGGCTCTCACTGTATACGTGTGCATCCCCGAACCACCCCCAAGTCCGACGTAGTAGACGTAGTAAGAGTAATGCGCGCGCGCGCTCGCGCTCTCACCAGACAAGCGACCCTTGGTTCGGGGCGCATAAAGCGACTCATGCACCATCTTTGCCCGATTTTCGCGAGGAAGGCGCGATCAAAACGGGGCTGTCGCGCGTAACAATCGGTTCCTCGAGCGAACGCGTGCATCTTCGCTGTACTACAACAGAGTACGACGCAGTTTCGACGACGCATTTTCGACGCCGTGCGTTCCCCGCGCGCCGTGCACCTTGCGCAGCGAACACCCGATTTTTCCTAGCATTTTTTCTTCGTTTCATCTCCTCCGCTCCGTTCCCCTTCTTTGCTAGAATCCGTTCCCTCCGCCACCCTTTCGCTCTCTCCCTTTCTATCTCGCTGTCTCTCCCTATCGTTCACCCTCACCGATTCCCCCTCTTCCGCGCGTTTCTACCCTCTGCCTACTACTATCACTCCCTTGTCCCACCCTCGTCCTTCATTCTTTCGGGTTCTCTGCGCGTTACGGTGTGAACATACTTGAGAGATCGCGCGACAAGGCGGTAATCGGTGGTGCAATCGTGAATAGCAGGAAGGAGAACGGATCGCGGCCAACGGAACGATGTCTCATTTACCCTGGAGACGAGGAGCACGCGTCCGCGTCCAAAGGATACGATAATAAAGACGTTCGGCTCGAGGGGGTGGTCCGACGTACGATCACATTTTTTCTCCTTCGCTCGTTCGTCTCCCGGTTGGTTCGGTCCTTCGGCCGATCGGTCGATCGGGTGTTCGCGTAACGTTCCAACGGGAAGCCGGGGGTGGAACTCATTTCAGTCTCTCTCTTTCTCTCTCCGTTATCTGAGATGATCCGCTCGTTCGCGAGGCTCGCGTCGCGCTCCGAGAAATGTGCACGACGAAGAACAGAGCGCTGGAGGTGAATCGTTATCGTTACGTGCTATTGAACTTGGACTGAGATTGGCCGTACGGGATATATCTATTTTTCGTGCACCGTCACCGTACCAATCGTAGTTAACGTCGGTGTTAGTAGTTTGCGATTGAACGCGATGACGCGACTCGAAATCGAGAGATAGACGAGACCTCCGGCCCGGGCGTAAATCGTATACGTGACATCCCAGGTACGACTGAACTATGAATTAACTGGGAATGCGAAATCGTTTAAATCCAGACTACGTACTACGATCCGCATAAAACGAAATGGAAGTCGGACGGCGGCTGCACGATTAACGTAGTTCGCGATCGAGCAGCGCGAGAGGGGTACGTTCGTGGGTGGAAATGAGAGAAGGTGAAGAGTCGCGCGTACAAGCTTCGACGTACTAGCGGGTGGCGTGTACACGGGGCTTGTGTGCTGTGCCGTGGTCGTGTGTATACCAGAGTTTCTACGTGTACACGGATAAACAAAGATTCGTATCGGCACGGTGAATTCACGCACGTAACGCTGACTCGCGTGTTACGGCCGATCGATCGCTAGTTCGAGGGAGCGGTAAGACTAATTCTTTTTACCCCCGCCGCGTGACCAGTTTGCTTTGAATTAACGCGTGTACAGTGTACACCACGCTCTCACCCCAGAGAAAACGATCGGGCTGCTTCGTTCGTCTGCATCTTCTCCTCGCATTGCACGTACCTACGCGATTCCACGTTCCAGTTCTACAGGGTTGTTCACCGATACCGTCGAAATAATGTTTCTGTCCGTCGAGAAACTCGTGCATTACGGAGTGTTGTTACTGTTGTTCATCAGATCGAGTTACCAGCAAGAGGAGGATATACCCCATAACGAGTAAGAATTCACGTCTGATTTTTACCTTTGCGTTGCATACAACTCTGTCAATCGAATAAATATTCCTGGACTCTGTTTCCCGTTTTATTAACCGTAATTTGTTGAACGATACAGTGGAAGTCATGACATAATTGGTAATGTTACAATTGATGGGCTTGTATTTAAATCGCTTGGACGTACGAGGTTTGTACGAAATTTGAAATTACCAAACCATCAATTACCGCGTTTCGATAGTACGAATTAAACCGAGCACTGGATTCAATTACGTTAACGTGCATGCTAATAAGCGAGTGGAATGAACGGGATTGGGAAGTGAAATGGTACCTAGTTTATTCGCTGGCTTATTCGGCTGTAATCACATAGAACAGCGGTCCCATGATTTTCGAAGGAGAGCAACATCGAGGAGAGAATCGGAAAGAACGCAGGCGCGTGTAGAGTTACGCGTACACAGTCGATTAACGAGGATCAGAATCGTCGGCGTGTATGCGTACGACCCTCTTTACGTGCGTGCGCACGTGAGAGAGAACGTAAGTACGTGTGTGTACACGTACTTACACCCCCGCGTAGGCTACGGATGTATCAATGGTACTATCCATTTACGCGTACATATCGTGCTTACTGTATGCTCTACGACGTGCTGCGGCCTTAAGAAACGGGACACGATTTCGTTCTCGAACGCAATTTAGCGGCAGCCTTAGATAAATTCATTATTCGACACGTCGATTTGTCCAACGTTCGGGTCATTTATAAATTTGAATAATCGCGTGAAACCGTTTTAGATCGCTTCTCTGTCCGTTCGTTTATGATGTAATCCTTAAACTCGCGACACGTAGAAACAATAGTCAAAGGATTGTAGATATTATATACATATGTATACGAGCATGAACGCAATTGTTTCGTCGAGTTTAAAATAATATTTGAGTATTAATAGATGTACAGAACAGGTGGCTCATTGGATTCCAGGCTCAGTTCGCACGTACACGTAGAAACTGTTTTTATGATAGCACCGAACAACGGCGGTGGTGACGGAAAGCGTTAAAGATAGATTTTGTTTTGCAGAGTGAAAAACTGGGCCTTGAAATTCGGCGTAGATTTATGGGAATTCAGCAAACAGGTTACAAAGATGAGCGAGATACAAAGGGTAAGGCAATATACCATACTGTTGGTTGAGCGAAATTATTTATTGATTCTCCTCTTACAAAAAAAATTGTCGTTATCGTCGTACATGAAAATTCAAACGAAGAATTTAGATTTCGAACTGTGCAGAAATTAAATTCGAAACTCGTAACTGAGAACTAGTAGTATGCGCTGATATTTCTCATACTCGCAACGGGAGCAAGTCAAGTAGAATCAATCGTACGTAGTCAGACACCGAGTTCCAACGTTTCTGAACAAAATACATTCGTTTAACCATTGCACATCGATGGTTCGAGGGTGATTTAGGAATTTGATGGGTGAATTTCAGAAATATCATGACATGGATGCCGAGGCCGTAAGAAAAGATGGTCTCGTCTTGGTGCGAGAAATGGCCGCGGAGGTGAAAAACATGTTGGACTTTAAGATGAACGCGGTCATGGTGAGAGGATCGAACACCAACTTGATGCGAAAGATTATATAGCTGGCATCTCGTTCGAGTATGCTGAATTGATCTTTCGTTTCAGAGATTGGTGGAGAGCGCGGAACAGGCAGCCGTGTCGGCGCCCAGAGACGGGAACGTATCGCCTAAGTATTACGCTTCTCACCGGTTCGACAGTTCCGGGGATGGAAAATCGAACGGACAGGAAACGTTCCTCTCGCTTAATCGACACTTCGATCATCTGGCTGTGAACGTATCCCTTTCCGCGGTCTTACTACCTGCTGGAGTCAAAGACACCGGTGGGTGGTGCAATAAAATTAACACTACCAGCTTCCAACATAAAGCTTATATTTCATTGTATAATAAACCATTTTTTTATTTGTTCCGAGCTACTTTTGTGTATCTAATAAACAATATCAATCTTGCAAATCATACGACGTTTCTAAAATTGAATGACATTGTTCATTGATATGAAAAAATGCAGAATGCTAATATTCGTTTGTTTAAAAAGAAGAATTCGTCGCACAAATTCGGTTTCCTTTTAGATCGCGACGTAGCCTCCGGCATTCAGTGGAGCGAATACTTGGACTTACTGTTCGTCAACAATTACGAAAGCGATCCCTCGCTTTCGTGGCAGTACTACGGCGCCACTTCCGGATTCTTGAGACGCTTTCCCGGTACCATTATCATTCCACCCTCTCTGTTTTCTATCCGCTCGGCTTATTTAAATGCGAGCGCGTTCGTATCTTTCCTCAGCGATATCCTGGCCGCCCATCGAGCAACGATCGAACGGTGGTAGCAAAACAGCGGCGAGGGTCGTTCGAGACGTGTACGATTTTCGGATTTCTAACTGGTTCGTCGGCGCAGCGAACAGCCCCAAGGATTTGGTCATACTTCTCGACATGGAGTGTTACTCCTCCGACAAGAACAAACGCCTGGCCTCGACTACCGTCAAAACCATTCTCGACACCCTAGGCCCCGACGATTACGTGAACGTCTACCGTTACGGCGACACCGCGGAGGAGATCGTTAAATATTTTAAGGACAGTCTGGTCCAGGCATCGCCTGCGAATATCCACGAGCTGAAAGTGGCGACGAGTTCGATGAAGTACGAGCAATTACCGATGAACGTATCGGCCGCTCTTAGCACCGCGTTTGAGACCCTCCACAGATACAATAGAACCGGCCAAGGTAGCCAATGCAACCAAGCGATCATGGTAATTACCGTCGACAACGTCGGCTTACCTATCGAAGTGATAAAAAGGTACAACTGGCCGCATATGCCCGTTCGGATTTTCACCTATCTCGTGGGAGGTGACAAGAGCCCGGAGTTGCAGAGCACATCGTGCACGAACAAAGGTAATTATCCTATTTTTCTTCCATAATCGTTTCGTTCTTCATTGTGTATGTTCGTCCGTTGGACAGGATTCTACGCGAGGATCACCGAAATGGAGGATATCAAGAATAAGGTCTTCGAATACGTGAAGGTGCTTGCTCGGCCAATGGTCTTGTACCAACACGATCATCCCGTGCACTGGAGTCCAGTTTACGTCGGTGGAAAGGTATTAGATGCGTGTACACGAACGTCACAATATATAATCCAGAATCGCATAGAAATGACTTTTTCTTTTTCAGAGCGACAGATACGGCAACGAAGATACAGGGCAGCTACTGACGTCCGTTTCCGCGCCTATCCTGGATCGCCGAAATTATACGGTAACACATTCTCCGCGAGATTCGACGACTAGTGGTCGTGGTCGGTGTATTTAATATATTTTTCTTGTAAAAAAAAAAGGTGAAAACGGCCAACCTGTTGGGTATCGTCGGCACGGACGTGCCGATCGAAGAGATACAAAAATTAGTTCCCCCATATAAGGTACATTGCTACGGTAGCGAATAGAAAGAGTCCACGAATCCGTGATTGAACCGTTTCCTTTCTGTCGATTTTTAGTTAGGTGTCAACGGGTATTCCTTTATCGTCGACAATAACGGTCACGTTCTGTATCATCCGGATTTGCGGCCATTGGTGAGTGAAACGATTTGAAACGACTCCCCGACTGATCCTCGTCCACTCGTCAATCTTGCCCACTGACCATCGCTGTTTGTTTTTTCATGTTCACGGACGCAGCCTGGAAACGCGGACGTAAGTAGTTCGAGGCTGTAGCACGCCGGTGTAACAAATAACATCTTTGTTGGCTTGTTGAACGTAATTATTTCGCGAGTGCCTCCGCGGTCGATAGAGTTCCCTTGTTCTTGTTTCGTTGCAGTACGAGGAGACGTTAAAGCCTACGTATCTTAGCGTAGACCTGTCGGAGGTCGAGCTCGCAGAGCATGAGGGACAGTTGTACTCCATGAACAACTCCCTTCTTCTAGACGTAAGCGTACATTCTTTTTTCAGAATAAATTCATCGTCAATTACGTCAACTTCATGTATTTTCTTTATTCAGTTGCGGCACGATATGATTGATCAAAAAGAAGGGGAAACAAACTTTTTTACCAAAATTCATTATGACAATATGGTGAGTAGTTCAACTTTACGTTATCTTCCTATGTGAACATCGACGAGTTTCAAACGTTTTTCATAATTCTTGCAGAGACGAGTGGCCATTAGGCGTCACAATTATTTTTATAAACCGATCGAGGGAACACCGTTATCGTTGGGACTAGCGTTACCCGAGGGTTACGGTATGTTCCAACTGCAAGCCGAACAAGAAATCAAACACGCGATAATAAATGGTGAGCGATATCTCTTATTCAAACCCCGTCGACTTTAATCTCCGTCGGTTCTTCGTTGAAAGCGTCGTTATGGTTTCTAGTGACCGAGTACTTTAAGGGGAACAATTGGAAGGTGCATCCGGATTGGGTGTACTGCGAGTACAGTTCGGCTTCCGGTAAATGGTTCCCAACCCCCGAGGAACGCTTTCTCCATTTTTTGGCACGAACGCGGAGCCCGGGGTGGAAATGGATGTCCTTGAGGCCAAGGAGTCCGAGCTCGCACCATAAGCAAGCGAGCAAGCCCGACAGAGATGCTTATTACTGTAAGTACTCCCGCCTCGTACGCATCTATCGATCCGTCGATGACGACGTAATTAATAATTTTCGATCTGACTCTCTGTCATCAGGTGACAAAAAGTTAGTTCAGTCGCTGGTGTTGGACGCGTTGGTCACCGACGTGCTCGACAAGAAAGCCGCGATGCACAAAGAGGAGAATCCGAGGTAAGTGGCCCGCGCGAGCCGTGCGAGAGGGAGTTCGCGAGAATGCATGACCGCGGACACTTTTATTAATAGCGGATATAATTATTCTACTGACAACACGCACTGCCAATGCACAAGCAAGCGAGCACGCGGTTTGTTTTTTTTTCACGCACCAATCATCGGACAACACACGCATATTGTATATCATATATATACAACTTTGTATACATATACATAAGTATATATATTCACAATATATACAATATATATATATATATATATTATATATTTTACTGGGTATTGTGAAAACTGCCGCCTCTATTTTTTCCCCCCGCCGTTGACATAGTCGTGTTGCGAACGAAATATATGATTAAACGTTAATCGTGGGAGTGAAGAGAGTATGAACAGAGGTGGCAAGGATAAAGGCAAGGATCAAGGAAAGAGAGAAGGAGGAGAAGCCGCGGAGCAGAAGGACAAGAGGGAGAAGGATTCCAAAGACTTTGCAAAACCGATTGACCACTGATTAAATGATTTAACCACTTTGCGTAACCGGCTGTTCAGTGTCGATTCGAATCTTGTATCTGAATAAAATTAGATCGCAAGTTTGACGCCGGTACCGTAATTCGTTGAAACGTGACACGTACTATGCGCAACGGCTAATCTGTTCCATTTACAAATGCTGTCTTTTATATCGCATACTTTTATTACATTTTATATTGTGTGTCTCCACCGCTAGCCCTATTGCCATACTGATGGCTCTACTGCACAGGTAATCCATTATGCACAATTATTTGTATAAGCGCACCCGTCGATATTGCACGGATTATATCGTATATATTGATCTATTCTATTCCTAAGTGTCCTTCGAACCGTTCATTGAAACGAAACCTTCCTTGGGAACTGTCCTGCGTCGGATACGTCTGTACTCCGGTGTCAAGGGTCAATTTCTTTTCATATTGAGTCATCTATGTCATCTTACCGCTCTTCGTTCATTTAATAAGATGAAATACGCGGCTCAATTATGAAAAAAAAATAAATTAATACATTGCCTCCGAAGTACAAACGCGTGTCCACTCTCTCGTTGTCACTGTTTTATCATATTTTTTTATCGGGCTGTGATCGACGAATATACATAATGCGAATGTAAATTTTGAAGGACACGTTGAACCATTGGTTGTACGTCGTCTATAAAGTGTAAAAGAATAAGAACACGTATCGATCACGGGATTAATTCCGTATTCGTTGAATACGAGAACAACGATCTCTTGTGTCTTCTTTTTACGTTCGATCACGTCGGTGGTGCAGGGTGTGTAATAGGGTTCACGTTTTCAGTCAAGGGAAAGGAACGTTCGGCGTAACGAGGAGTTTCATCGCGACCAGGAGCGGCCTGTTCCGTTGGCACGACCATCAAGATACCGACAAATCCACCGATCAAACGTAAATATTATAATACAATTTATTTGATCGTTGACATCTTACGAACAGCGTTCTCCTCGTGATTCGCGTAGACTGTTCGCCGAGAAGTACGCGAGGGCGATGGATTCTTCTTGGTACAAACGCGCCGTGGATCAACACACGATAGAACCGGACAGCTTCGTCTTCAGCGTACCATTCGACGCCGGTAATTAATTACTATTTTCACAAATACTATGAATATTGAATATTGTAACAACTGTTCCTTTCCATTGAAGCCAACAGTCCGAGTCCTTTGGTCACAGCGACTCACGCGATTTTCATCGGGAAGGGTCACAAAGCGCCTGCCGCGGTCGTCGGTTTGCAATTTCAACATTCCACGTTGGCCTCACGCTTCGTCAATATTACTTCCACGGTAATTCAATTTTACTCTCAAGGTTTATAAAACAATTCGTATTATACATTGCATACTGTCCTGGTTTTGAATGATTCGACAGCGTAACGATAATAATTTTTACTTTGATCGGTTCAGTGCAGCGGTACAAGTTGCAAGAAATCCTGCGCTTCCGAGGCATTAGACTGTTACATTTTGGATAACAATGGTTTTGTTATAATCAGCGAACGTCACGAGCATACAGGGAAATTTTTCGGTGAAATAGACGGCACTATAATGGATTCCCTGGTTCAGGACAAGATTTACAGGTACGAATCTGAGATAACGTATAAGATATTTGTATAGGCAATATTTTACTTAAGGATGTATTGGCTATACAGTCAATCCCAAAAGTTTATGCACTTTAGAAACGCATTTTTAAAAAAGAAATCAGACGTCGGAAGAACAATGC